TTAAGACAAACTGACAACCTAATCCTAAAATGTATATGGGAATTTAAAGTGCCAAGGCCAGTGGAAGTAAAGAACAACAACATAGGCTACTATATTTAGAATCTATAATAAAGCTATGGCAAATTATATATATATAAAAATATATAGACATATATTTCTATACACACACATACTGTATACTATATATATGTGCATACACATATGCACATACACATTTGTACTACATACACACATACACACACACACATATATATGTTATCATTATTTTATCTTTTGTTTTTCCCAGTGATGTTTTATAGTTTTTCATGTAGGGGGTTACATATCGTTTTTTATGTTTATTCCTCTGAATGTGGAGGTTTTGATGCTATTGTAAATGACATACTCTTTTAATACAGAGAGCGATTTCCTTGCCCAGTATTTATGCAAGAAAATAGCAAACTGATAAATAACAATGGTGACACAGCAGTCCAGTATCATCCTGATACCAAAATCTGGTAAGGACACAATAAAAAAAAAAGAAGACTACAAGCTGATATCCCTGATGAACATAGACACAAAAATCCTCAACATAATACAAGCAAACTAAATCTAGCACCACATCAAAAAGATAATAATTCATCATGATCAAGTAGGCTTAATTCCTGGGATGCAAGGATGGTTCAATACATGCAAATCAATAAATATAATTTATCCCATAAACAAAATTAAAACAAAAACCATATGATTGTTTCAACGGACACAGAAAAAGCATTCAATAAAATTCAACATCGCTTTATGATAAAAAGTCTCAACAAACTAGGCATGGAAAGAACATACCTCAAAATAATAAGAGCCATATGTGACAAACCCACAGCCAACATCACACTGAATGGAAAAAAGTTAGAAACATTTCCCGTAAAGATTAAAAGAAGACAAAGATGTCCACTCTCACTGCTTCTATTCAACATAGGAAGTCCTAGCCAGAGAAATCAAGCAAGAAAAATAAATAAAAGGTATCTAAATAGGAAAAGAGAAAGTCAAATGATCTTTGTTCACTGATGACATGATTCTATACCAAGAAAACCCTAAAGATTCCTCTAAAAGATTCCTAGGCCTGATAAGTGACTTCAGTAAAGTTTCAAGATACAAAATCCATGTATAAAAATCAGTCGCATTTCTATATACCAACACCACGTTCAAGCTGAGACCTAAATTAAGAACATAATCTCATTTATCATGGCCACAAAAAAATAAAACAGCTAAGAATACATTTAACCAAGGAGGAGAATGATATCTACAATGAGAACTACAACACACTAATGAAAGAAATAATAGATGACACTAACAAATGAAAAAACATTCCATCCTCATGGATTTTAACAATTAATACCTTTAAAATGACCATACTTCCCAAAGTATCTACAGATTGAATGTAATTCCTATCAAATTACTAACATCAGTTTTTACAGAATTAGAAAATAACTAAAATTTACATTGAACCAAACAAAGAGCCCAAATAGCCATAGAAATCCTAAGCAAAAAAAAAAAAAAAAACTCCAGAGGCATCAGATTACCTGACTTCAAGGTATGCTACAAGACTACAGTAACTGAAAAACCGACTCATACAGAAATAGACACATAGATCAAGGGAACAGAATAGAGAACCCAGAAATAAAGCCACACATCCACAACCAACAGATCTCTGACAAAGTTGTCAAAAATAAACAATGAAAGGACATTCTATTCAATAAACTTTGCTGGGAAAACTGGCTAGCCATATGCAGAAGAATGAAACTGGAACCCTACCTATTACCATATATAAATATTTACTCAAGATAGATTAAAGAATTAAATGCAAGACCTCAAACTATTAAAATCCTATAAGAAAACCTAGGAAAAACTCTTCTGGATATTGGTTCTGGCCAAGAATTTACAACTAAGACTTCAGAGCAAATGCGACAAAACAAAAATCAACAAGTGGGATTTAATTAAACTACAGAGCTTCTGCACAGCAAAATAAACAATCAACAGAGTGAACAGAAAACCTACAGAATGTGGAGAAAATATTTACAAACTATGCATCTGATGGAGGACTAATATACAGAATCTATAAGACACATAAATCAACAAGAAAAAAAAAAAACAAATAGCCCCATTAAAATGTGGGAAAAAGACATGAAACAGACACTTCCCAAAAGAAGACACACAAGAGGCCAAGAAATGTAACAAAAATGCTCATGATCACTAATTATCAGAGAAATGCAAATTACAACCACAATGAGATACCATCTCATACCAATCAAAGTGGCTATTATGAAACAATAAAAAAATAACATGTTGGCAAGGATGCAGAGAAAAGGGAATGCTTATATACTCTTGGTGAGAATGTAAATGAGTTTAACCCCTATTGAAAATGGTACAGAGATTTCTGAAAGATCTACAAATAAAACTACTGTTTAACCCAGGAGGTATCTACTAGGTATCTACCCAAAGAAAAATAAATTGTTCTATCAAAAATATACCTGCCCTTGCATGTTTATCACAGCACTATTCACGATAGCAAAATTATTGAATCGATCTAGGGCTCATCAATGGTGGACTGGGTAAAGAAAATGTGGTACATATGTACCATGGAATATGACATAGCCATAAAAAGGAAGGAAATCATGTCCCTTGCAGCAACATGAATGCAGCTAGAGGCCATTACCCTAAGTGAATTGACATAGAAAGAGAAAATCAAATACTACATATTCTCACTAATAAGTGGAAGCTAAACAATGAGTACACATGGACATAAATATGGAAATAATAGACACTGGGACTCCAAAAAGTGGGGGATGGAGGAAGGAGAACAAGGGCTCAAAAACTACCTATTGGGTAATCAGGTACTATTGTTAGAGTAGGTAGCTAGGCAGACAGGAGCAGGGCAGGAGAGGGCCTCCACCCAGGAATGTCAGGTGACTATCAGGTGATGGTCAGGCAGTTAATCAACTGTCTCTCTAAAATGATCATCAGTTGCAGCCAGTCCCAGGGAAAGACAGTCTTCCAATAGATAGAAAATACCTGAAGCTAGTGATCAGCAGCTTCCCAATAAGGTTTCAGGAGTTGGGTGAGTGGGTTCAAGTATGCACACTAAGAGGCAAAATGGTAGAGTTTAAATGATATATGACCTACCTCTGGGAAGTCCTGACTGGTAAGGGAAAATCATCTCAAGTGAGCATGTGTACAACTTCAGTGAACACACTGTGCACGCAGGCCCTCCCAAGTGCTGGCAAGCCACTGCTGATGTGGATAGCCCACCCCAAGGGAAGGCTCAAGGGAGAAGAAACACAAACTCCAGAACTATGCCAATGTATAAAACCCCAAGTCAAGGTCTGGATGGGGCACTTGAATCTCTCAAGCCATCCACTTGACCCTCTTCCAAGTGGGCTTTGCTTCCCTTTGTTCCTGCTCTAAAGCTTTTTGATAAACTCTCACTCTTGTTCTCAAACTTGCCTTAGCCTCTCCCTCTGCCTTAAACCTACTTCTACCCCTCAGCTGAATTATTTTCTCTGAGGAGGCAAGGATAAAGACCTATGCAGACCTATGCAGATTCACCCCTGGTAACACTATGTTCATTATCTAGGGGAAGGGTTCAATAGACACCCCTATTCCAGTATTATATAAAATAACCACATAATGTATCTGCACATGTACCTCTTAAATCTAAAAAAAAATTAAAATTTAAGAAGGTATACCAATTAAACATCCATATGGGAAAAAACTTGACCTCCTACTTATAGTATACGTATATATTTATATACAAAATCATTTCCTGATTTAAAATCTAAAGGTAGGAAGAAAGCTTACAGGAAAATATGAGAATATCTTCATAATTTTGAAAATGACAAAGATTTCTTAAACAGGATCAAAAGTGCTAATCATGAACAAAAAAAATAAAAGGAATTAAGTTTAGAAACTTTATCAAAATCTTGAGTGAAAAGGCAACCCATAGAATAAGAGACAATATGTATAATATGCATATCTGAGAAAAGACTCAGAGCCAAAATATATAAAAGTTTGATACAAATAAATAAAAGTCAATCGGAAAGGGAAGAAGGCAAAGACTTAAACAAGCACATTACAAGAGGATGTCCAAATGGCCAATATTTATGAAATGATGCTCCACCTCTTAGAGATTAAGGAAATGCATACTTAAACCACAACACGATTCTGTAGTATACCTACCAGAATTGCTAAAAGAGAAAAAATCAGCACCAACCAGAACCCAAATGTTGGCAAGGATTTTGAATAGCAACTGGAATTCTCAAGCATTCCTGATACGAGTATATATTTGTATATTGAAAAGCATTTTGGTAGTATTTACCCTATGACTCAACAATGACATACTTAGGTATTAACCCAATAGAAATACATATATATACTAATCGAAAAACATGTAAAAAGGTGTTTATGGCAGCATTGTTTATAATAACCCCAAATTAGAAACTATCCAAATGCCTATCAACTATAGAATTAATAAACTGTGATATAATGAAACACAAAATGGAATACAGCACTGGGAATGAACACACAACTACGTGTGATGATGTGGATGAATTCACAAACCTATTGTTGAACAAAAGAAGCCAAACAAAAGAAATACTTACTTTGGTATTTATATTAAACTCAAAAAGAGCTACAACTAATCTACAGTGTTAGAAATCAGGATATAAATGATCATGAGGAGGGCTTCTAGGGTATGGATAATACATATTGTTTCTTAATTTGGATGTTATTGGGATACACATGTTGTGAAAATTCATCAAGCTATGGACTTAAAATATTCATATTTTTCTATATGTGTGTTAGAAATCAATAAAAAATCAGTACAAAAACCACCAAAAAGGTATCAAGTCAGGATTCCCTTTCGGTTGGGACATGAGGTACTTGAAGGGGAGCAGAAACAGACAAGACAAGGAAGATTTATTGGGCCCAGACTGACAAGTACCTCAAACGCCAGGAACAGATGTTTGGACATATTTCTCTAAACCAGGATTTGGCAAATTTTTTAATATTAAGGACTAGATGGTAAATATTTTAGGCTTTGTAGGTCATGTATTCTCTGTTGCAACTACTCAACTCTGACTTTGTAGCATGAGAGTGCCATGGCTAATATGTACATGTGGCTGTGTTCCAATAAAGCTTTATTTACAAAAACAGGAGGGCCAGACTGCTCACCACTGCTCCAGAGAGTGAGAGCCATGGAGTATTTTTGAGCATTTAGTGAAAAAATCAAAGTTGTGCTTCAGGAAAACCACTCTGACAGCAAATTCAGAATAGAGTGAAAAGAGAGAACACCACATTCAGCCGGAAAGACGTAACTGGGGCAGAAGATGATGAAGGTGTGTTGAGTGGGGAGTCGTCGATGGGGAGTGTCAGTAACTTTCCTTTTGGACTATGGGTGCCTCTGCAGCTCCTGTCTCCCCATTAAGGATGGAAGGCATTAAATCCACCCCAACCACTTACCCTGCCACATGCATACACACAAAGAAAGTCATGATTATTTGGTGGGTCAGAGTCCAAAAAACTGATTGAGTTGCTCTTTCTGAAGATGGTGCTCTCAAAGAGACACACAGACTTGATACCACTTCTTGGAGGATCTCTCTCCAGCCACGTCCACATCTCTGGATGTCTTCTTTTTTTCTGGCAGAGTAGTCAGGCCTGAGCTTTATCTAGCCTGGAAGAGCTTGAGGAGACAGTGGGAGCAAGATGCTGTCTTTCCATTGATGTCTGCTTCTTTCTTTATCAGCAGGTGGAAGTTTTCATAGTGTTGAATGGGCAGGCACCTAAGTTTGGAGGGAAAGTAGGTCATTTGGACTTCCTTCACTTTCCTCCAGGCTGCCTCTGGCCTCAACAAGAGGACACAAACACCTGGCCCAGTTTATTCTTACTTTGGAGTTTAAGTTCAAAACCAGCTAATTACAGTGTTATTTTTACTTTTCTTTTTAATACTTTAAGTTCTAGGGTACATGTGCACAACGTGCAGGTTTTTACATATGTATATATGTGCCATGTTGCTGTGTTGCACCTGTTAATTAGTCATTTACATTAGGTATTTCTCCTAATACTATCCCTCTCCCCTTCCCCCACCCCACAACAGGCCCCGGTGTGTGATGTTCCCCACCCTGTGTCCAAGTGTTCTCATTGTTCAATTCCCACCTATAAGTGAGAACATACAGTGTTTGGTTTTCTGTCCTTGTGACAGTTTGCTCAGAATGATGGTTTCCAGCTTCATCCATGTCCCCACAAAGGACATGAATTCATCCTTTTTTATGGCTGCATAGTATTCCATGCTGTATATGTGCCACATTTTCTTAATCCAGTCTATCATTGATGGACATTTGGGTTTGTTCCAAGTCTTTGCTATTGTGAGTAGTGCCGCAATAAACATACGTGTGCATGTGTCTTTATAGCAGCATGATTTATAATCCTTTGGGTATATATCCAGTGATGGCATGGCTGGGTCAAATGGTATTTATTTTTACTTTTTTTTTTCAGAAAGCTTATCAAAAGAGAAATAACTGGGTAAAAGCAAGGGTTTGTATACTCCTGGGTCCTCTGGCCTTGTATCGTCACATAAAATCTAACCCCTTTCTATTGCTGCCCAGTATCCCCTAGGTGCTATTACTCCACTTGCCAGGCAAGCCAGCCCTACTGGTGAGTAATAGGAAGAATAACCTGAACTAAACTTCTGGACAGTGGAGAAAATGGTTTAAGTATATACTTTCTTCAATTTCATCTTGCCTCTCTTCTGGTACTCTTCCTGTCCCCCTACCGTTCCAGGCACAAATACACACATGCCATTGAATGAGTTACCATGAGAGCAGGAGAAAGGAGAGAGAACAAACCACTCCCAGCATGTGAAATTTTCATACCTTCTGAAAATGAAGAAGGAAAGGCATGTGGCCTCCCACCCTGAGCCATTTTCCCAAGGCAGTTTCTTTCTAGCCCTCCACCCTCCAGGCAGATACATTCACCTTGTTAATAATTCCACCTGCATCAAAAAACATTACCTTCATGACCGGAAAATAGCAGCCTCATTACTGAAACCACAGCCTGCAGTTAGATGGATTTTCCCAAAGGCCCCCAAACCTTTCCATTTTATTACCATGTCACTCCTCATTTTAACAAATATTAATCACAAAGATACATTTTTCTTGGGCTGTGGATTTAAGTGACCTTTTCCAAGCACTTGGTAAAGGTTGGTTCAGGTGAAAAAGAAAAAGAATGATTAAGTTTGCAAAGTTGGGTTTCTATCCTAATTTATTTATGCAGAAAGAAGGAGTTGTGTGGCTTGTTGCAGATTTCAAAAGCATGTTATGGACACATTCCTTTTGTGGTTAGGATGCGGTAAAGCATACTGGATAAGGGACTGGAGTTTAAATCACCCTAGTTTCAAGCGTGGCTCCACTACTTACTAGCTGTGTGACCTTGGACAAATGAACTCAATTTTCTTACCCTCAGTTTCCCCATCTCTAAAGTGGGAACACTTCCTCCCAAAATGGCTGTAGAGCACAAATAACACTGAAGCCAGTGCCTGACTCACAGAAAGTGCTCAACAGTTCTTAGCCAGTGTTTTTGTTCTTTTCCCCTGGTTAAATGTGTCACACACACTTTATTAAAACAAGGCCTACTCACACCCTTTCTGAAAGAGCTACAAATAAAACTACTGTTTTACCCAGGAATCCCCACTACTGGGTATCTACCCAAAGAAAAATAAATTGTTCTTCAAAAATACACCTGCCCTTGCATGTTTCTCCTTCCTCTTTCCTGCTGCTTACAAAAAAAAGGCCCAGTGTTTGCTCTAATGCTTTTTCTTTTTGTCTACTGTTTTTGTTTTGTTTCAAGATTCTCTGAAATCTGTAAAGGGAAAAGCAAATTGTTGTCTCTATTTCTTTATTTCTTTTAGTGTTGAGTGGATTTCTCTCCCACTTTGAAGGCTTTCTGGATAGAGAAGATAAATTATTGATTAGGGTCAGAATATCCCTGGTAAGGAAGAAATTCAAAGTATGTGGCTCTCTTGTGCAAAGACCATGCTTCAATGAAGCTTGGGAACTGTTGATTGTATACTGCTCTGGGCTGCATAAATTCAACGTCACTCTCTGGCCTCCATCCCCTCTTTCGACCAGCAGCCTGAAATACACCAGAAACCTGGTCTAGGGCACAAGTGTGGATTATACGCAGAAGAAAGAAATCTTGTTAGCTTTCATGAGGATACAAGCTATTACTGTGGTCTTGAGGGTGCTGAGCTCAAAGCATTAAGTCCACAAACATACGTTAAGGATGACGAGAGGTAAAACGGTACGAGGCTCAGTGTCAGGGGACCTAAATTCTAAACCCAGGTCTGCCACCAAAGGACAGTGGGACAAAGACCAAGTCACACTCAATCTCTGCCCTCAGGTTTTTCAGTTATTAATGAAGACTTTAGATTGGATGTCCTTTGGGGCCCCTCTTGGCTCAAAGACCCCGTGTCTACGCTAGTAGAGTCAATACTTGTATAAAAGCAAAAGTATATAACCTTTGCTTTTTAGGAATTAATTAGTAAATGCAGTCTTATTATATTAAAAGGGAAGACCCTCATCCATGTTGGAAAACTTCCATCATATACCAGTTAAGTTCTTTGCTGGCAACAGACACTACTCTTAACTCTCTCATGAAAAAGAAGAGCTCAATGGGATGGCACGCGGTAGTGTTTGGAATTGGAGGATGAGTTAGAGTTTTATGAATGTCATGGACTTATGAAGTCAGGAAAGAAGAGTCTGGAGTTGTCCATAGAAGGAATTCATGAACCGTTTTTTCTCAAACAGGCTTGTAATAACCCTGTTCTAACTTCTTGCTTTTCAACTTGACTACAGCAAGAGTGTTCCCATCATGCATTAAGCTTTAGAGGAGAACATGGAAGGAGAACATGGCTGGTCTGGCTTGGGCCACCTGTCCTCTCCTGTGGTAGAGGAGTGAAGGGTCCTATGACTGGCAACCCCTCCAGAGACACATAGAGAGAAGGGCGGATCTCTAGAGGCTGACAAAAGAGAGTTCCTACACAGCCTGATGACAGATGAGGAAATTTACCTTCCACCAAGAAGGCATGGCCACTGAGGGTTTTGTCCTCCAGTTACCAGAAAAGGGAAAATATTTGACATGTTAAGCTTGAAACAGGTTATCACTGTCATGCTATAAGCAGGTTTTCTTGGATAGTTTTTCTAAGGAGAGCATCTACCCCAGGCCATGCCCTCTGTTTGGCCCTTGACTTTCAAACTTCTGAGAAAAAGGCATTATTAGCTTCTTCTTTATGAGCAGAAACCAAGGCTTAGTGAGGCTGAGCTGTCCAAGGCTACATAACAAGCACAAAGTAAAGTGGGATGGGAACCCACATTTGGCTCCAAAGTCTGACCCTATTCACTGTATTCTGTGCTGATAGGGTAGGGGAGCAGAAATGTTTTCCAACCTCTGATGAGGAAAGACCTGGAATCCTGAGGGCTGGGATGCAAATTTTTGTGTGGGTCTTTCTCAGGCAGAATACTCCTTCCAAAGAGGAGAGCCTGTAGGCAGAGAAAGAATTTCAGAGAGGAGGGAGGAGATTTAAGCCCTCATCCTTTATGAAACACTGTTCATCCCTCTTTGGTTGCTTTCACCAATGCTTTGGAAGTTCATAGCCTTTGATAAATAAAAAGAAGACAACTACGATTTTTAAACTTTAAAATTGGAGAGAGAGAAAAAATGCAATAATCTTTCAATCTTCTCCAATGCTACTCTTTAAGGTTAATTTATGTTCCATAAGGAACTAGACTGAATAAGAAAAAAAAAATCTAAAACCCATCTCAAAAAGCTGGAAGTTATACATTCCTTCTCCTGAAAGGTAGTTTCTATTTCTGCTTGATTCCTATGAGGTAAAGATGAATAACCTCGAGGTTTCCTTTTCTCAAATATGCTATTTAGCCTTCCACATGTGGCTTTTGATTGAATCTGTGATTTGTCTCTCGTTGACTTGAGCCCCAGAAAACACCACTGCAGTGACAGGCCTCTTGTGCTTTTCCAATTGGTAGACTAAATAATCCAAATTTCCTCTTTCAGATTAAAAAAAAAAAAAAAATCTTAAGACCACAGAGCACAAGGGATTTTTTTCAAAGTCACCATCAGGAATAAAGGGTCTTATAATATTAAAACAAACACACACACACATATCTGTGTGGGTATGTGTGTATTCCTCAGTTTAGAGTCTGACCCACTGGTACAGTGGCTGTCAGAACCACTGAGTAGTGAGAGCTTGTGAAGCCACATCCAGGCCCAGGAGGAACACCTTCTAAGATTGATTGCTAATTTCTGCTATGATCACAGACATGGGAGTGATAGAATGTTTCTAAGGCTGGGTACACCTGTAACCCCAGCACTTTGCGGGGCTGAGGCAGGCAGATTAAGTTGAGGACAGGAGCTTGAGACCAGCCTGGTCAACATGGCGAAACACCATCTCTACTAAAAATACAAAAAATTAACTGGGTGTGGTGGTGCATACCTGTAGTCTCAGCTACTGGGAGGCTGAGGAATGAGAATCACTTGCACCTGGGAGGCGGAGGTTGCAGTGAGCCAAGATTGTACCACTACTCTCCCACCTGGGCAACAGAGCAAGATTCTGTCTCAAAAAAAAAAAAAAAAAAAAAAAGCATATGTTTCTAGTATTTGTTAACTAATATAGCAAGATTCGGATTCAAAATATATAATATGAAAGTCTAAAATCTATTAAAGGGAGATGGGAGAGAAAATGACAGAAAAGTAGACCTGCTCATACTGT